TATAGCTTGTGGATAATCATCACTAACGTATGTTCTGCTGGAGATCAATCTTTCCTTTTGCCTGCTCTCGCCTTTTGAAACCTCAGTGCTTTTCCGTCTTTTCAACTATGCAGGATGCTGTTTTTTGGTGTAGGTATCCTTATGAAATTTGTGCTTACGACAGTCTGTCATTAAATGCTTATCTTATTGATGGGGTTGGAAAATGGAATGCCTCGACGAGGCGCGTGGTGGCGCTTTAGATATAGTAAATTGCCTTGTCATTTCAACCTATCGCATGCTTTCATGCTTTTTCCGCTTTTTTCTGCTTTTTTGCTTTGCGGGATGAGTTTTTTGCCCCACTGAAGTGCGAAGCACCCCTACCCCCCTTCACCTCGATTCGCCATCTAAACGCGAAGAGTGGCCTACTTCAACCGATAAACGGCCCCATTATTGCCCTCGCCACTAGCGAACCTAGAAATGGCTTTACCCCGCCGCGTTGGAAGATCGCCTCCCACGTCTTGACTTACGGTGTGCCGACGTTTTTTAGTCAGAGTAGCATGAGTATGACGTGTCGCGCTCATGCGAAGCACATGTTACACACACATGCTACACACATAGGAGGACGTGTTTCCTCGATTGCTGCCGAGGGGTGTCCCCCCCGACCACTCCGTGAAGCGTTATGCATTCCTTATATGCACCCGCGTGGATATGGGGTGATGACGGTGGCTATGGGGTACGCCCGGGTCGGCTGCGTGCTGGTGAGGGATTGGCTGGATAGTGTCGAAAAGAAGACGGTTGCGTACGACGTGAGTTGTGGCGAGAAATGATGTGAGCTTGGGGACAGTTGGTGGGAATGTGCTTTGACGTATCTTTGTTGTCCTCTCGCATGTGATTCCTGCCCCGCTCTCGATCCCCGATCTTTCCTTCACAAGCTTCCCTCAATTTCACTCTCTTCGCACTTCCTTCCGCCCTTGATCGCCCGATTTCCTGTTCCCGTCCCTTTCACCTACCCACTCCCTCTTCCTTCCCTTCGTGCCCCTGTCACATCTGATCGTTCCTTTCGCCGAACAACCGCAGAGACCGCCCAAAGAATCCTTCCCGGGCGGCTGGTGGAATGAGATGACGCATAGCTTCCCATGGCTGAAGGACTGTGCATGGCCCTCAAAACCCACGCAAGCCCTGATAACCTGCGTTAACCCTGGGGTCATGGACGCGATTAAAAACGCGTGGGACACCGGACGCTTCCCACACTTTTTCGAAATGCTATGCTTCAGTGACTTCGCCGTTCTCGCCGGGGCATGGGATCGCAGCAAGCAGGACTTCGACGATGAGTTGGGGGTATTGGGTGAGCGTCTTGAGTTAAGAAAGCAGGAGTATGCCAGGGAGTGTAAAGAGCTGGCAGGAAGATCCGCCAGGGTTGAGCGGATCCTCCTCAGGATTTGGGGCGTAGACGACTCGCACCTAGATGGACGAATCCATGATGTACCGGAAGGATCAACACCCACTACGGCGGGCAATTTGGTCACTAGATGTGATGATCTTGCGATAGAGGATGATGAGCGGGAGGAGATGTAGCGGGCTATCGCTGCCATTGCCACCGCCATCAGAGATTCCCCGCTCACCGATAGTCGGGCAAACGCCAGTGGCTCGGAACAGGCCCGATATACAGCGTTCGCTCCTCTAGCTTCCACGTACTGGGTTGAGCACACGTCCACGGGTTTTCGACATGCAATTTGGAAAATGGAGACGTTTAACCATGTAGCACCGATCTCCGTCAGGGCCCTCCAATTCCTGGGAAACATCTCGGATGCGCAGGTAAAGGAATGCAGGACGCAAGCGATGAAGGGCAAACTAAAATTTTCCGGCAGGGTCCCTCCGCTGGATCCCCAAGACCTCAAATTTCCACCCATGCGCGCGTTCGATCTAGATAAATGCGGGGATACTAGCTCCGGGATGTGGCAAAAAGCGATTAGACAGCAAGATCGGCTAGATCTTAGGAATGTGAGGAAGATTTGGAGCGTGGGCAGACCCTATCTCAAATGCAAGTGCGAGAGGGAGAAGAACAAGGACTGTGGGGACACCCCTCTCTGGTACGACCTGCCCTCTGGTACCTGCTTGCGCATCCGGACGTTCTGTTCCCAGACATGTCCTCGATCAAGATTAGGACGTCGATGTTGATACACTACCTCAGAACCTCATGGAGGGAGGGGGTGCTTGCCGCCATTGGTTTTCACTTCATTAGGGATCTGATGATGGGTTACATCAAGGAGCTTGAGACAGATGCGACTCTCGACACAGAAGGACTGCTGAAGGATGATCGTCTGTGGAACTATCCGGTCCCCGCCCTGCTTGCACGAATCATGCTCCCCACACAAATCCCTGAGAGACCAACGACATTCCCGCTCAGCTCTCCACGTATCGCAGCGCGTAAGAGGAACGCGGGCGTACACATTCCGGGCCAAACTACGCTCAACTTTCGACGGGTAACCCCTATACCCGGCGCTTCCCCTCCACCCGCAGCAGGCACTCCTCCTCCTCCTCCTCCCCCTCCCCCC